ATTTAATATAAAAAAATTATAAAGATTAGTTAAAATTTGAATAATTTTTATTAGAAATAATTATTAATTTTTATATTAATATATCAATCTTCTTATAATAAACTTATCAATAATTAATCTTACAAAATAATAATTGATAGTGATGCTATAAGTAATATAATTGCTTAATAATTTATTAAAAATATATATTTTTATTAAAAATATGATATTAAAAGATTCTTAATAATATATTAATAAAAATATCTATTTTTTTTTACTAAGATAGCTTATATAAATTATATATATTTAAAATTATAAGTTAAAATTCTTAAAATATTTAGAATTATAAATCAAATTTATTACTTATATATGCAAATTTTCAGAATTATAGATCAAATCTCTTATTACATATCAAAATTTAATTATGATAAATAAAAAATAATTTGTAAAACTAGATAAAATACTATTTGAAATTTTGATTAAGTTTTTACATTTCTAATCATATGTATTATATTTATATAATATTTTATTTAATATTTAATATTAATAAAGTAAAATAAAAAAAAATAATAAATCATATAACTTTTAATTATAATCTGTTTTTTCAGAGTTTTATCTATATAAATATCCTTTTTTAATATTAGTTTAATATAATAATAACTAATAAAAAATATTTAATAATTCTATATCTTTTTATTAATAAGTTTCTTTAATTTTAATTTTTAATTTATCATTTAAATTTTCTAATAGTAATAAATAATTATTAATATAATAAGAACTTTTTAACTGAATATATATTTTTATTATTATTAGATAATTTAAGTTTTTTTTATTATTAGATTATCTTTATATTTTATATTGATAAATAATTTTTCTACTTTTGAAATATTTTTATTTTTTTTATTTTTTTATTAAATTAATATTTTCTTTTTTAATAACCAAGTTTTTAATTATCAAAAATATTAAATAATAATAATTATAATTGATAATCTAATTGATATTATTATTTAATAAAAAATCAAGATTTATTTAATAATTCTATATTTTTTTATTAACAAGTTTCTTTGACTTTAATTCTTAATTTATTATTTAAATTTTCTGATAATAATAAATAATTATTAATATAATAAAAACTTTTCCAATCAGATATATATTTTTATTATTATTAGATAATTTAAGCTTTCTTTGCTATTAAATTATTTTTATTTTTATATTAATAAGTAATTTTTCATTTTGAAATTTCTTTTGAGTATTTTAATTAATTTAAAAATAAAGTTTAACTATTTCTTTTGAATTAATAATAATTATAATTAGACAAATGCTCAAGTCTGAAAAAATAAGTAAAAATAAGCAAGTAAATAAGTAAGAAAGTGAAAGTAAACAAGTTATTAATAATTAATCTTATAAGTAATCAAATAAGTAATCAAGAAGATAGTCAAATAAAAAAGAATAAGTAAGCTTTAACTATCAATAAGTAAAGCAAGAATTTTAATAAGTCTTATTTTATTTAAATATTCTTAATATTTAAATTATTCTTAAATTATATAAACTTGAATTATAAAAAAAATAAAATGCAAGTTTATTCTTAAAGTTTAAATTATTCTCAAATTATATTATAAATAAATAATATAAATATATAAATGTATGATATTTGCATTTTAATTTTAAAGATATCAGAACTAGAAATCCAGAAAAATTTGAAACTAAATTTTTTCAAATTTTTCCAAATTTTTTTTGATTAGCCAAATTTTTCTAAATTTTTTGAAAATAGGTAAGTTTTCAAATTTTTTTCATCTGAATAATACTATCAGAATTTAAATATTACTATATTTGTTATATATATATAAGTATGTATATAATAGGAATATTTATTCAAATTATATGTTTTATCTTTTTTTAACTATAATATATTAAATATTACCTAATAAAAAAATTATAGTAGCATCTCATATATAAAAATATCCTGATAATTTTTATATTGAAAATTCTATTCTCATATATTATTTCTGCTATTATATCATTAGTTATAATAATATTTCTTTTATCATCTCTTATTTATGTATCAAAAAATTTATAATAAAAAAAATAAATATATTAATAATAAATAATACAAATAATGATAAGATATATAAATAGTTATATAAGCTACAGAGATTAAAAAATCTATAATAAATAAGTTTCTTAGAATATAGATTAATATAAATAATTCTCTTGAAAAAGTTGATAAATTTTGATCATTTTTAAAAACTTATTATTATAAAGATAGTATTATTTCTATTATTAATACTTTATATTATAGATATTTGTCTAACTTATTTGAGAATCATATTCAGGTATTATAAACTGAGTTTCAAAAAAAATCTGTAGTAATTATTATTAATGAAACTACAGATTCTCAAGCTTATAATATTATAAACATATTATTCTGTTATCATAATTTAATAAAACTTATATTAATTAATTACATATAAATAGTTAATAATATAACTATTAGATAATTAGTAGTTCAAATTTTAATTAAATGATCTATTTCTTTTTCAGCTTTATAACTTTTTCTATTTGATTCAGCTGCATACATAAAAAAATATTATTAAAAGATTTTATATCTATTAATATCATAACTTAAGTATAATACTTATCCTGCACATATATTAAACTTGATTAGATTAGTATTTATATAATTTTATAATTTTAATATAAATTAAATAATTTATATTTATTTATTTATTAAAGTGAAGCATGAATTTCAATTGCACATTTTGATATTATAAAGAAACTGTTAACAAATATTAAAAAAACTTTTATTTACTCCAAAAGTTGTTATAATTATTACATAAATTATTTAATTTGACATGAAATTCAAGAATATTCTCATTAAGAATCTTAAGCTACTGATACCATATTAACATTACAATTTATATCTTTATCAAATATTACTTGATAAAATTCTTGATTTGAAATGACTTTTTATGTTTATGATTATTTAGAATATATATATGAATTTTATAAAGAAGAACAAGAACAACAAGAAAAAATAGAAATAATTGACACTATTAATACTATTTTTAATAATTCAAATAATAATGCTTATATTGAAATTTATTTAACATTTATTTGATATCAAGCACAATAATTTATTTCAGATTTAGATTTTTTTCAATCTGAATACAATTCTCTTTTTCCTTTTATAGAAGGATATATTGAATAATTGAAAGCTTTTATTTCAAATGACATTTCTGTTAATGATTTTGGATATCATATTACTTCAGTAATTCTTAAGTATAATTCTGATTCTTCTGCTTATAATTTTATTTTTCAATCTGCTTTTAGTATAGCACAAAAAAATTTTTTGATCATTTTAATTCACATCCTTCTCATTCTCTTTTTAAAGCAGCTCAAATTTTTGATTCTCATTTTCTTCAATTAACCATTAATAATCATGATATTCAAAAATATGGTATTAAAATTTTTGAATTATCTAATCCTTCAATAGCTCTCATTCAAGAATGGGCTTTTTATTGTAATTTAGATTTAACAACAATAACTCATAATCAACTTTATATTTTTTGGAATAATATTGCATCTCGTTTTCCTCTTTTAAGCAATATAGCATTTGATTATATTTGGTTACCTATTTCTTCCTGTGCTGTTGAAAGAAGTTTTTCATCTTTTAATAATATTTTAGCTGATAACCGTCAAAATTTAAGTGAAGAATCATTAAAAATGCTTAACAAATTTTTCCGGGTCCCTGATCAGGGCAGACGCCAGGAACTCCGGAAAGACAGATTGTGATCGGAAGTCACATGATCTGTCATTTTTTTTCTGTTTCACTTTGTTACTAATCTCCGACATCAGCCGTCTTCTGAAATGGATACCAGCCACATAGAGTCATGTGGATACAACGCTTAAATGCATCCCCCTTTTTTGTAAAACAGATTCTATAGATGTTATAATACGCCCCAAATTTCAATTAAAAAACCACAAATTAAAATGAGTGTCGAGACTCCTATATTATCACAAAGGAAAATAGGTACTTTTGTAAAAAGACAGACTTAAAAACATTATTTGTTATAACTGTAAATCTTTCTATACATAAAAAGGTCCGGACTCAATAAGATCGCATAGGCGACGCAGGGACTTTCCCTCGCAGAATTCAGAACAAGCGTTATTACGAAGCAGGAGAAATTTAACTTTACAAATAGAGTCAGAGTCTGAACGAGACGAAGGCATGAAAATAAACAATATACAGTTTTACTCAGTTTATGAAATATGCAAACTCTTGCTTTCGATACATGATAACCATATGAAAACGTTTTATATTTTAGATACGACAAAAACCCCAGCAGAGATTATCGATGACGTGATATCATGTATCCAGAATCGATCCGAAGAACCAGCAACTCGCGTTGAGAAGCTAGGCAGTTTGATAAGACTGATAAAGAATCATGAGCGAATAAAATACACATATCCACCGGAACCTCTATTACGAGGGTCCGTACACATTGTTAATTATAGACTTGATATAATTCGAATTCAATTTTTTTGATCAGAAATTTAAGAGATTCTTGTTCTACACATACGTCATAAAATAGCCTAAGATTTTGTGTATCAGATCCTGTCAAAGAAGTACGCTTGGCAGGATACCGAGCACTACGATACTTGGTTGTTGACGCGAGCAGAGTAGAGAAAGTTATAAATCTACATTATGATATATTTATGATGAGGTTTTTATTGATTTTATTTTGGACCGATAAAATTGGCTTATTTTCATCATTTTATAATAAAATAATTAATTGTCTTCTCTAATGATGCTATACTATGCAGGTCTTTAGCAAAAGATCCACGATATTTTAACGATGAACGCGCACAGGTTTTAAAGCTTATCAGATCTTTTACTGATGTGCCGGATGGTACGAAATATATACCTTTGGGAGTATTGCGCACTGTTGTGTCAATTGCAGAACAAGCTGACGAGAAGTTACGAAATATTTGTGTGATGACATTAGCTGAGATGGGTAAGTTATTTTGCTGATCGATTGGTAGAAATGGTGGTGATAGTTAAATTACCATAATATATGATCCATGATTTCTAACCCTAATATATTTAACTTAATTAATTCTTAAATGGATTTTTGCTGGGAATTATTTAGTTATCCGAGATCCTAAGTTAGTAACACAATGCGGAGGCATGCGAGTACTATTACAGTCTCTAGTGGACGGACCTCTAGAACTTTCAGAATATCTAGCGTTGACGATATTATATGTCGTCGATACACCAGAATCAAGAAAATGTATCCGTCCAGGAGTGGACTTGGAGGTCTTATTATTGTCATCAATATCTTCATCTTATTAGATAATTTATAATTAGATACTAAAAAATGTGGTTTAAACTTTATAGATTGTTCTTTCCGGATTCACTGATATTTGCAGTAAGACTCCGAAATCGGAACAGCAAATGAAGGCTAGTTCCCGGGCAATTTCAATTCTGCTTAAAACATGGACTGGGATCATTTATTTGTCTATGGATAATAAGCAATCTATCAGATCGATTGTGGAGTCTTTAAGAATTACGACTGATGAGTCGAGGGTTGGTATCGATATTTTAATTCTTGTTTTTTGGGAATAGGTAGTCAATACGGAAAGGTACTTTTATTAACCTACCACATTCATAATTATCATTGTCATTATCCCAGGATGCCATGTTAGATATGTTATTTAACATTTTTCGAATAAAACCACCAAAATGGTATCCAAATTTTTTATCTGGGAGGCGGATAACCTGTATGCGAATTTTAATTAATATAAAATACATGTAGCAAATTACAAATATTGACTTTAATTTATTTATTGATAATTTGATGTTGATTGGACGGTCCGTTGCTCGCCCTGATCGTTGTTGATTTTCGTTCCGGATACGCTTTTCGGGTTCTGGACGCGCATTTTTATGCATACACATAATATAGTATACGGTCAGCCATCTCCTGAAGAAGAGAACAATTATAATAATAACAACTACGACTATGACGAAGTAGCACCACCATCGATATCGTCAAATTCAAATGATCGACTTAATTTGCTCGATCATCATTTGGTGATATTGTTGGTGATTTTTATTGATTCTGGGTTACTTGAGGTATTATGTTATACGTGTTTATATGATTATGGTTATCTGTCACTATAATAAATCTAAATTGTTTAACCGTCGAATATAGGCGTTAATCGAAATAATCGAGGATAAGAATCAACGGGTTGCGCGAAAAGCCACTCTTTTAATAGGCGAAATCCTACAGTTGTCAAATCGATTGCTTTCAGTATCCCGTTCTATAAAAATACAAGTGAGAGATCAATTGTTTCGTAATCAAAGATTATTGCACTGATAGTTTGTTTATTAATCAATTTATTTTGGGAATAATATATGAAAAGTCTCTTCCAAAACTTTTCAATCTCGCCATGAAATTCGAAGATGAAATAATTCGTCACAACGCCACAGCAGCTCTCTCCCACATTGACAACCTAAATCGCACACGACTCGGACTACAATCCAACGACGGCATTTCTGAATTCGGGGCATTAGGTGTTGCCGCAGCAGCTCTCGAAGATCGTCGTAGACGCAGTGCGCGACAAGTAGAAAACGTGAAGATAAAAATGGGCATACAAATAGACGACGTCCATTTCCGAAACATGCTCATGGAAACCCAGGTTTCGTTTGATTATACTACTACTACAAGTTTGTTCTGCTACTATTATTATAACACACTGTGTAAGAAATATTCCTGCCGAAAATTATTGTGTATAGATGATGTATGTTGACACTAGAAAATGGAATAAATTTTTTGCCATGTAGGTGTTGGCTAAGGATTATACGCAATGGAAATGGGAGACATTGATGGAATTATTGCAGGGACCGTTGCTCAACCCACGGAGATTAGAGGATGCTATAAGGTCAAAGTTCTTGAAGCGGTTGATTGGATTCTTTCGTCCAAATAGTTATAGGTTTTCGAATATAAAGAAAGCTATGGTAATTTATTTTTGAAAGTTCATATTTTCTGTTGAGAGAAGTTGATTTTTAATTAAGATATGTTTTTTTTAATAGGACACGCAACGTTATGTACGGTTGGGTTGCACGCTTATTACAACATTATTGGCCAATGCAGACGGTCTGAAATTTCTGGAAAGCAATAAATTCTTGAGGCAGATAGCCGAAGGATTAACACAACTTGACCCTGTATGTTCATTGCGTGCTTTTAGTTTCTGATAAATTTATTAAACAAAAATTATGTGGGCGATTGGATCATAGATTAACGGAACTGTGGAGTCAGAACCATTATTTTCTAAAGAACGGATAGAAACTACGCTTACCTCTGGATACTTTACCATGCTAGGTGTCTTCAGCAAATCTAAAGAGGGGGTTAAGTATGTTTTTCCTGTGTTTGTGACCCTCTTATCAAAAGACAAAATTGTTATTATTATCTTGGAGATTATGATGTTTACGATATGCTTTTATAAAAAATTAATTCATTACCTTAACTTACTTTCTCCGTTAGGTTACTAGAAAAATTCAAGATCTTCAATACATTCTATCATTTGAGCGAGTTAAGAAGTCGCGAGGACTTGATAAAGACTATTATTACAAATTTGGATTATACCCTGTAAGTGTTATAATTTTTTCAACAGATTTTATTTATTTCTCTATATTTGTTTAGAGAATATTTTTCTTTTGCTAAACTAAGAAAATTTTTTGGGTAGAGATGGTCACCCGCGTATTCTACTGTCGAAAGTCATGACTTCTGGATATAAGGTAATTCAAAAGTAATAATGTAAGTCATATTGGTTTATTAACATATATATGAATTTTGTTTCTTGTCTTTTGTGTATTATGAAAATTGAAGCAAATGCGCCTATACGCCACAAAACATCTCGGAATTATCTTACGTAGTTCCACCAAAAAGTTTAGTGATTGGGGAATTCGATTGCTAATTACACAGGTACCGTGTTATTATTACATCATCCAATGATTTTTTTCAGCAAGTTTAAAAAAATGAATAAACGACATGAATCTCATCAATTCACTAGCTCTACGATCCCGCAATGGAAGTATGCGAAATGGCGGTCAGAGTACTCGAAGAAATATGTAAACACAAAGAAAATCTCGAGTTGCTCGTAAAACTACGACCCAGCCTCGACCACTTAGGCGAAGTCGGAAATCCGTTACTTCTGAGATTTTTGTCGACATCGATTGGATTCCGGTATCTTTCAGAGTTTGATTACGTGGAACGGGAGATGGATGATTGGTTTCAGGTGATTTTTCTCTCATCCAGTATCTTGAAATCAATAACATCAAAAATAATCGATCATGTGATTTTTGAAAAAAGAGCCGAAATCAGTATTATGTCACACAGCTTGAAGTTTTGTTGGCCACTGCGCTAAAGCTTGACGGCGATAACGGCAAAGTTGAGGAGGATGACATAAAAATGTAAATAGTCTCGAATATCAAAAAATTTGCTATTCTAAACTATCCAATATCAAATAATAATGTTGATGACTTTTTATCTATAGGCAAACATTCGACGGCACGACTCCGCCACACTTTTACGGTGAACTAGCAAAAACCGATGAAGGATGTCAACTATTACGTGACTCGGGACATTTTCGTGAATTTGCTCGGTTTGTAAAAGAAAATGGGATGGAACGGTCGGATCAATCGATTATTTCCAGATTGAAGTCTGTTCTTTGGGCGTTGGTATGTATTAGATTATTTATTATTGCATTGCTCGTGTCTGAAAGTTTGTTTTTCTCGACGAATGTATTATAGTGGATAAAATTTATAAATTATTTAATGATTTCATGAAATAGGGTAACATTGGTGCATCCAAAAGCGGCTTGCCGTTTTTGGAGGAGGAAGATATTATTAAGGATATAGTCAAAATTGCACAAGAATCCGAAGTTCTTTCGTTAAAAGGGTGAGTATAATCAATTTATTTTTTGTCATCCTAAAATAAGTTCACAGGAAATATTAATTGTTATTATCTACTTATTTCTGACTATGAATTCCAAAGAACATGTTTCTTTGTTTTAGGTTTAATCGCAAAAACAGCCCAAGGCGTCGAAATACTCGAAGAACTTGGTTGGGAGTGCGTTTACGATGCTGATACTGGAATTGGGACGGGGTTGTGTGTTCCTACGGATCCGCAGGAATTTCTTTCGGTATTTGTCAATAATTTTATTTTGACCTTGCATTAAATTAAATTAACTATAATGACAAAAGAAAGATTAATAACGTTTTTTTATTATTTCCAGTTTCCAAAATGGACATATAACGGCTCTCTCTCTGCTTCATCAAAAAATCGACCATTGATGCCCAATAGCCCGGTAGAACGCGACCTATTACGCGCGTTAACGAATTTGACTAATCGGATATTATCTAGTACGGGGTGTAAGAGTTTACAAAAGTGTGTGCACTTTTTTTTTTGGAAACTAAAACAAATTAGCTTTGTTATGTTAAAGCAAATATTAATGCTTATTATATGATTTAACCAAAAAAGAATAAGAACAAAACATCCAGAAATTTTCACACGCCTAAACACATACCTAAAGGCATGCCAAATGCTTTCGTCCTACCAGTATCGACTACCAACGCGTAGACTTATTAGTGAGTTGTTTGACGTAAAATATACGGCGCAGGTTTTTGATGAGCTTGATCAATTGATGGCTGAATCACAAAAAGTTGAAGAGAATGACGATGAACCTGTGGAGGTGATAATTGAGGGCAGAAACAATGTGGATTCTACGACATCCAGGAACGGCAACAACCATAATAACAGTTTAAATGATAAATTGATTAAAACAAAAGAAACAACAGCAGGAGATGTCGACGCTCCGTCACCCTTGACAACACAAAAACGCTCTGTGTTCAATCGTACACATCGTGGTAGCGATGGACTGGTGGCTGTGATGTCAGACGATCAGAATGATACGGGTGCGGAGGAAATCATACCGAAACAGACTTTGACACCTTTGATTGTGATTAAAGGATTTAAAGTGTGAATATGTATCAAATATTTTAGTATTAGGAAATAGTAATCGATATTATTTTGCTGTAAAATTTGCAATTAGCACACTACACACTCTTTGAAGAGTTTTTTTTTACCTTATTTATTTATTTTTTATTGTTGTTTTGCTCGATTCAATCAAAGATCTCGAGATTAAGTATTTTACTATAATGTTATGTATGATCACATTGAACTCAGGTGCAAATTTTGTTTAGGGAATTTGATCGACAATGTAGGATTTTCTAGAACGTTACAATATCTGGAAATAACGATAAGCTATCATTTAAAATCAACATTATTAGTGTTGCAAGCCGGGGCGACTTTTGCGGATGGACCGTCAAGCCGCCGCATGGCTTGAAAACTCAGCCAGTGCAATTCCTAAATTTGGAGAACCCCAGTCCATCGTGTGATCAATCCCTTTAAATTTTTAAAAGTTATTTTATTATCGTTGTCATCTTTTGTTGAATAGTATATTTTTTAATTAAATATCTCAAAATTCAATTTTCAATAAGATCTGTAATGATATAAAAATTACTAAAAGAAGCAAATTAAAAGATTTACAAAGTTGATCATACAAATTTGCATGTGAAAATTGATAATTTAAAGATAATTATAATTTCTTTGATGATTTTTAATTTGAATACATACCTTTTTTATAATTCTATCTTTTTTTAAAATTCAATTGTTTTTGAATTGCTCTTGTTGAATAAGAAATAAATTCTCATCTGATATTTATAAAAATTATCACTTGAGCAAGATTATTAATAATTTTACAATTCTTGATGTTGATCCTTTTTACCTACTATTGTAATATCTTCAAAATCATTTTAAGCAGGCTTAGTATTGTGTCGCTTGTTAAAAATTTTATCCATCAAATCAAATAAATTATGACCAGGCTGGTTGTTTCTTTGATCTGGTTTGTTTCATTATTTTTGATAGAATGATTAAGTCATGAAAGTTTGTCTTTTATTTGTTCAATTATTTTATTTTGAGAGTTATTGCCAAGAAAATCGAGTTTAATCGATCTTATATTATCAACAATATTTTAATGTCCTTAAAGTATTATATCATCTCCGATATGATTAGAGATTCTATCTGATGCAATAAGAGAAGTTTGAGTAGATTCGAGCTAAACTTTAGAAGATTGAAGGTCACCAAATTCGCGAACGAATTCAAGTCAAAAATAAGCGTTTGATTGGTCAGACGGAATTTGAGGGACCGCTGTGTGAGAAACTCGGAGTATGAATCCGAAAATATACATATTACTTTATTAACGAATTTGACCCCCCGAAAGTTTCATGCTAAGCCGAATATACATATATGATTTCGTCCCATTTTCCTAAAATTCAATAAATTGCACTCGTTTCCCTTAAAAATTCAGGACGATAATAATTATTTCAACGAATAAATAATGCCAGGAAAATCCACTGTCCACAACACGCCAGAAGTCCTTGTAGTCCTAGTTGTGGACGGAACCTACCGTCTCGCTGATCACTTTCACGCCCTCGTCGACACTTATCTTAAGAACATTTTTATAGAACTTATGAAGCCGATACTATTCGAAAACGAGGAAAAAGCATCAACAGAACGGAAAATTCCGACATTGAAATGTGGCCTCGTGGTATTTCATCACTACAGACCATTCTCTGCGACACCTGTCGAATCGAGATATTTTTCGCAGGATAGTTTGAAGTTTCTGGAGCAGCTGAAGGAGCTAGAGTTTAAGCACGGGGGGATGTCAAAGAATGCTGTGGCGGAGGGATTGGCTGCTGCTTTGGAAATGTTTGAACAGTATGAGATTCGAAAGGGTGATGGTGTTGGTGGAGGCGGCGGAAGTGTTAGTAATGGTAGTGCCAGTAGTTCAACACCACTTTTTGAGCCAAAACGACATTGCATTCTCATTTCCAATAGTGAACCGTTGGCTGACCCAGTTCATTTTAATTTTGACGAAAAGTATGATAATTTCACGATTGGACAGATTTGCGAAGAGATGGCTAATCAGAATATTTTCTTGTCATTGATTGCACCGGAAGGTGATAAACCTGAACTGGAAGATATTGTGAAAAAGGTGCGTGTTATTGTCATCAACTTTATCCGCCTTTCTCATGAAGAATACCCATAGACAATGTCGTAGTATTAATGCAAGCTAGTTGTCAAAGTCTAAATTTTATTTTTCTTTTCTTTCATGGAAAGGTTAATATTCATACTCAAGTGGAGACTGCAGAAAGCGGAGACACGCCGCACATATTAATGTTAGCAGGAGGAATCAAATTGCCAGAACCCAAAGCTCACGAGGGTAATTTTTTCGTGTGAATTTACAAACTACACAATCAATCCAGGCGTAAAATAATTGATTTAAACGCCTGCTGCTCTTACATAAATTTTAGGATCTAATATATTTAAACGCGAAGAATCCGGCGATATTCATCATACTGGACAACCAGTAACAAAAAAACAAAAAGTGGATCATGGAAGTAATGAAATAAAATTAGAAAAAAACGAACAACAACAAACAAATAATCCCTCACAAGCACCAACACCAACATCATCAAGTATCATGCGCCAATCGCCAGCCTCTTCACCGAATTTACAACAAGGAAATTCTAATACCAGAGCAAAAAAGACTCCATTAATAACCAATCAAAAACTTCAATCTCCTTCGGCAAGATCTTCTCCTGTTGCCCATCAATCTCCGCAAACTGTTCTTGTTCAATCACCAGTTGCTATGACTCCACCACCTCCTACTACACACACTTCACCTGTTCCTGCGGTTATGCAAACAACACCAATCCTTACAACTACCGTTCCACCTCAAGCGGCTGCTGCAGCTGCTGCAGCGGCGACAGCAAATCCTATAGTATCTCCTGCAATGCCAGCACAATCAATACCAATAAGTGTTCCAATGAATGCCATTGCACAAACTCTTCAAGTTCCTCAGGCTATAACTACTCTTTCTTCTTCAAATCTATTCCCAATGCCCCAGCAGATAATAGCAGGTACGCAGCAACCAACAGCCATACAGTCACCAGGAATGCCTCAAGTAATCCGCAATATGCACCCAAATCCACAAACGACCAAAATTTCGATGAACAATTGGACTCCCGAACTTCGACAACAGGTAATGGCGATGCCACAAACCGAAAGACAGAAATTGATGTTAAGGATACAGCAGCAGCAGCAGCAGCAGCAGCAGCAGCAACAGCAGCATCATCAACTGATGCAGCAGCAACATCGGCAACAGCTACTCCAAAAGAACAACTTATTAAAACAGCAATATGCGCAAAGCCAACAAAATGTCATGAAGAAAGTCAATGCAGCAATACCAGCAGCTACAGCACAAAATCCAACATCTGTATTGTCATTTCCAGGACAATTACCGACCAATGCGACTGGAGCACAGGCTCAAGCAGCGGCGGCTGCAGCTGGAATGCAGAATATTCATTTAATAAGTCAAATAAATATGGCAAATCTACAACAGCAGCATCAGCAACAACAAAAACAAATGACATCGCCATTATGGAGTGGGCAAATAACTTGGCAAATTGGTACTAATAACGGTCAACGACGTGAATTAAGCTGTATAGTGAATGCATTTGCCCCAGATTTGAAAAATAAAGCGCCACCTGACTAGTAAGCATTTTTTTGCTATTCCTTATATCATCTTTTTATATAAAATCATAATTATTGAATTACTCTTGATCTTAACAATGATAAATAGTAATGTTGCAAGTTGGCCTGAAAAAATGGAGATTCAGGCTGTGCTTCCCCTTAAAGACCTGCAACGAGACTTCAACAATCGCCCTCTTGTTTCTTTTACTATAACATCACAACCTGGCACAGAAAACGCATCTTCTTTTCAAATGTTGCTTGCCAACTTGTCTAAACGAGAATTGGTAAGAATTAATGAATTTGCGCTTAGTCAAAAAATATTTTATATTTATTTCTTTTGCTTCTTTATTAGGCGGCATGTGCTCGATTTCCAAATTCGGCTACTTCAAGTGGTGGCATTCTTCTATTCAATAATAGTGGTCGACTTTTTGGCGCGTTATATCTCGATCGACCAATACCACAACCGCAGATGCAGCTGCAGCTGCCACAACAACAGATGCAGCTGCAGCTGCCACAACAGCAGCCACAACAGAATTTCCTATTACGACAACAATTATATCAACAACAACAACGACAACAACTATTACAGTTGCAGCAACAACAACAACCTGCTTTACAACAACAAGCACAACCACAAACCCAACAAGCGCAACAAGCGTTATATCAGCAGCTGGTGTTAAATAATTTAAATAATTTAAACAATTTAAATGCTCCTGGCAAGTGTTTTTTTCATCCTTTTTTTGGGTTGAGATGACTACAAAAATTCAATTGATTAATCATAATTTTTAATAATTGCGATTTAAATAGTTTTAAGACAACAACTAATTCAGCAACAGCTACGAGTTCAACAGCAACAACAGCAACAACAACAGCAACAACAACAGCAACAACAGCAACAACAGCAACAACAGCAACAACAGCAGCAACAACAACAGCAGCAGCAGCAGCAGCAAAATCCTAGTACTTAAAATATAGACATTTATAAAACGATTTACACCTTTAAATATTTAAAAATTAACAACCTAACCTTATTTAGAATTTCATAGATAATTTTCTTTTTCACAGTCAAAATATTTATAATATTCAAAATAAAAAACTAACCATATTAAACCGGTTTTTCTATCTATCTTTATCTTTCTCATAGAATAAATAAGAACTATCATTGGCCTGAGATAAAATTCTTGAAAACATACAAGAAATACATGAAGAAAAAAATTTCAATTTTTCAACCAACGGACTGAGAAAGAAATAATAAAGGAACTGCAGAAATAAATAAAACAAATCGAATACGTCTATATATTAGGATATTAGGGAAATGTCAAAATCTCAGGTATAAACATGTATTATATAATCACATCTCAGGAGGAGGGGTTTGAATCGTTCTTTAATATATTAATATACAAGAATAATCTAAAAGCAATCAATTAGTGTATGTATATCACAAGTGTTCAAACAATCTTATTAAGCAAGACTCCTCGGGTATCATTAAAATCATTACTATTCATACCCAATTGTGTTAGTAACCTAACCACGGCAAAATATTCGTATCACGTGACTTTTAAAAGTAATTTCATAGGTAAAATTCGAGAATTTTTTATGATTTATAACGTCATTTGTGTGATTTGTATGATAATGATTTTACAATTTAAATTTATTGAATTTAAATAATTAGATAATTATATTATTAAAGTTTGTATTATTAAATTGAATGATAATAATAATATTTTTTGCTTTATCTAAAAATTATATTGAAGTTAACAATAAATTTGTAAAAAATTAAAGCAAAGTTGAAAAAACAAAATGATTATATCAGAAATTCTTTGAATATTGATAATAATAAATTATTGCATTTCATGTGAAAATATAGTAAATTATAATAAAACAATCCATTAAACGTTATAAAAATAATAATATTTAAAAAATTTTATTAAAATAATAATAAATTTTAATAATATATTATTATTTTTAAATTAAATTTAAATTTAATTAATAAAAGGATATTATTTATCAAAAATTAAAAAAATTTGATAAGAAAAAATATTTTTATTACTATTAAATAAAATAATTAATTAATTCTTATAATATAATTAATATTTTATTTAATTATAAAAATAAAATAAAATAAAACTAGTTAAAATATATCTTAATTTTATCTGATATTTGTTTCTCAGAAAGAAGAAATAAATTTGTGATATTATAAAAATTAAAAATTATAATTAAAATAAAAAATATAAAAGAGTAAAAATTATTATTTTTCAATTATTTTTCTCGAAAAAAAAATTTTTTTTATAAATTTTTAGGAGTTTTTATAATTTTTTTAATTAAATATAGTAATGTAAAAAAAAATAAAGAAAAAAAGAGATAAATTTATAAATTATAAATTAAAAAATAAAATCTATTATTAATTAATAAAAATTCTAAAACTCTAATTAATTAATTAATTTGAAGATCAAATAATTATAAGTCTTGTAATTTGATAGTATAATATAATAGATTAATACTCATACTTAATTTTCAGATTATTATATTTAATTTATATTTTGAATTTTATTTTTTGTAATTCAAGAATTTAATTAATTATCTATTAAAAATTTTGATTAATTATAAAGAAATATATAATATAAATATATTATTAATCAATTATTATATATTATTATTTCTAATACTTCTTTCTAATATATTATTATCTTGACTTTCTTATAGATTTTCTAACTTAATTTTTTTCTAATAATTATAAAAAAAATATGTAAATTTACTATACTTTTATTCTTAATCTAGTAAATTATTATAATTATAATTTTTAGAATTTATTATCATAATTATTACTTTCTTTATTTTATTAATTTTATTAATTTCTGTATTTTTTGATTATTATTTTTTTATTTTCATATTTATATTTTTTATTATTTTTATTATTATATTATTTTATTATTTTAGCTAGCTCTTGAAAGTTTATGACTTATCTAATTATATTTAATATTTTATTATTTTTTTTATTTATAATTTATTTTTTTTAATTTTAGAATTATTTTTATTTATTTATTAATTTTATTTAGTAAAAGTAGTAAGTTTATAAAAAAATATAAGAATTTATTATTTATTAATAGCTTTTAGTAAAAAATTAATTATTATAATGATCTAATAATACTTTAAAAAAAACATTTTATTAATATAATATATTTTTTTACTTAATATTTAATATTATCTTTAAAAATATATTATTTTTCTTTTTTTTATATTTTTTTGGTTTTACTAATATTATTATTAATAATTTATTATTATTATTTTCTTTTATTTTTTAATATTTAAATAAGTTTATTTTTATTAGTAGTTTTATTTATTAAATTATTAAAAATAAAGAGAATTTTGAATGTTTATTTTCTTTATTTTTACTTTTTTCATTTTTAATTATTTTATATATGATTAAAAGATTATATTTTATAACAATTTTAATTAAATTATCTTTCTTTAGCTTAGATCTTTATTTTATATCATTTATATAATAAATTAATTTTTGTATCACTTTTTTAAAGATTAATTTTATTCTGAATACTTAAATAATTATTTATATATTTAATATATTAAATTTAATATATTATTATATAAATAATTATTATGTATATCTATATTATTAATTTAAATAATTAATATTTTTAATTAGATTTCTTTTAATTATTCTTTTATAATTTTATTTATTCTCTTTATTATTATTTATATTATTATTTATTATATTATTAATTATTATATTATGATTAGTTACTCTTCAAAAATATAAATTAAGTTAATTAATTATATTTAATATATAATGATAACCAAAAGTAATAACTTAGAGACTAAATTTACTAATAAAATATAGTAAAAATTGAAATTTTCTTTCTATATTAAAATTTATAATTTTAATAAGA